TTCTCTTACTCTCCCAAAGAGACCATCTCCTTGTCTCAGGGTCTTTTCACATGGTATTGCCTATGTCTGGAAGTTTTTTCTCCATTTCATCTGCTGTATATTAATCTAAGCATAAGTGTCTCAGCTCATAGAGGTCACCCATCAATCCCAGATCTGCAATGCCTCGCTGATGAAACATCTTCCCATTGCTCTGCACCTTTTCTGTGGCACATCCCACAGTTTCTAGTCTTGTGATGTTCTATGTAGTGTTTTCCATAGATGGAGAAACATCTGTGAGTACTTTCATGGTTCACTTTGTTCTCAGTGACTACAAAAACAGTTCTTAATAGAAGAACATCCCATTAAATACTTGTTCAATGGGTGAAAAGGGGCCTTTACTCAATTTTATAAATAGCAGCTCATTCACAAACTAGGGCAATACTCAAGTCAAACTATCAATCACACTGGCCTCAAACAGTCAGGTCAATAATATAAACATTGAGAGCAGCAATGACCATCTTGACCAGAGCCATAAATCAGGACCTACAGAATGTACCTCTCACTTGGATTCTTACTTGGATTCTATTTGTCAATTTTGACATTTTGCAGAACTTAGTGTGGCTAGAGTTTCTTTGGATGTATCAAAAAAAAAAAAAAGATTCCACAAAGAAAACATTAGCCATTTTGTAATTATTTTTCATTAAGAAAAAGTAAAAGTGTAATAACAAGCCATTCCAAACATGTAGGGAGGAACTGAATATATACAAACATTTTGTAAGGTCCTACAATATCCACAAGAAAGACTGGTTTACCAAGGTAACATTTCTCTTCCACTGACACATATCATCATATTAAAGCAAAAATCAATTTCAAATGGAATAAAACTGTGTGGAAATTGGCAGAACATAAAATGTTAAAATAAATGGCCATCTAGAAAATGAGTATTAGTAACTAAGGAGCCACAGGTTCTAACACAGTTGAAAGACATTGGAGTCTAAACAATATTCCTCTTTCTCAAATTCATTATGTATGTGTTGAAAAATGCATTGGGAGCCTTCAACTACTTTTTACTGACTATGCTAAGAGTAATTTAGCAGCATTAAAAACTGACAACGAACATGCTTGCCTCTCAGAAAGAATGTGGGAAATTGTGTCATGTTAATTGAACCCTGCTGTGGTAGGCACATAAATTGATTTCTGTGGAGGACTATCAAGAACACACTCTGTCTCTGGAACAGGGGCTTTAAAAAAAGGATGGGAGGAAAGCTGCGGTTGGGATCATTAGCTTTGTATAGTAAATTAAAAAGAAAATGACTGCCATAATGTCCCTATCCTCTTCATATTTAGAAGTCATGAAGGGAAGATCATAGTTAGCTCATTTCCTTCAGAGTTATGCCATTGAGCAAGGCAGAGAAGAAAAACATTGCATTATGGTTTGCTGCCTGTTCTGCCTGCCTGTAAAGCTGAAGGGGAAGAACATCTGCCTATTATTTCTTAGGTGGAGCTAGAATATGCACCTAATGGCAGGCACGTTCAGCAGCACTAAGAGTGTAATCTGTTCATAACATATCTGAGAACCAGGGGAGTCATTTGGTGTCTTTCCTACAAGATACGGTTTGGCTGTACAATGTAGTTGACTGTATGATTGTGGGCTATGTCTTAGGTAGATTACATAAGCCAGAAAAGGCAGATGGTCAATCTCTAGAGAGAAAGAGGGTCCAAAGTAGGAACTGAAGACTAGAGAAGGCACTAGGGAATTCTGACCGGGGTGTGGGTGCTGGTCCCATGGCTCTAGCTTAGAAATTCATCCACAATGAAGTCAGATTAAAGTTTCCTCTTCTGTGGGCACCAAGCAGTTGGAATAGCAACTAAACTTGACTGTTTATACTTCATTAAGGAACGGGCTACATTTAATCATCCTGGGTACTGATTTACATCTGGTACAGAACCCGTGCTCAGCAAATACATTCTGAATGATAGCTTATAAATGCCATATCTCCCATGCTAGGGTAGAATGGTATGAAATGGCTGGAGAAGAACCTGGATTGTTTACATTATAGCAAGAGGCATATCAAACAGGCACATCTGATGGCAGAGATGCTGACAGAATAGAGCAGTGGTTATTGCCTTGCGTGCACATTTGAAGCTAGATTCAGACTGAATTCCAGCTCCACAGCTGGCCAGGGGTGTGATCTTACATAGTTCATCTCTTAGTGCCTCAGTTTAAATGGGAATAGTATCTAGCTGAAAGGGGTTTCATGACGGCTGCACATATTAAAATTTTATATGTGAAGTGTGTCAACAGTGACTGTATAAGGTAAATGGCTGTAACCGTTATTTTAACTGCTAACAGCTCTAGAAAATAACTCTCCAAGTTAAGATTTGTGTCACTCTCTGATGGCTTTTCACAGGATTTCTGCAGCTCTGGACAAAAGTCCAGGGAAGAGGCCCTGAGATCATTACAAGGGTGACAAAACCAATCCCAGAGCCAGAGAGGGCCTTCTGGGGACTTTGTTACGGCAGAGCCAGGACCGGAATCCAGTCTACTGTGGCTGTTACAAGCATTGTAATTAAACAAAAGGACTGACACTTGGCCTGTATGTAAAATGGATGCCATGATTGAGATAATTAAGAGTTGCAGTTAAGGTCTATGATGCTGGATGTTCATAAACTCTGGTTCAGCAACAGGTATTCAGCAATTATAGCCTCAGTAATTTGAGAAAAGTTGTGAAATTGTGTGTTATGGGCATTAATCATAATAGGGCTGAACTTCTTTCTAGCAATATAACTTGCATGAAACTGATCAAAATATTTAGAATAATATAAAAGTATAAATCAGAGCTGGAACGATGTCTCAGTGGTTAAGAGCACTTGCTGCTCTTGCAGAGGATCCAGGTTCAGTTCCCAGCACCCACATGGTGGCTTACAACCATTTGTAATTCCAGTTCCAGGTGATCTGATGCTCTCTTCTGACCTTCACAGGCCCAAGTCAAGCACATGGTACAAATACATACATGCAGGAAAAGTATTCATACACGTAAAATAAAAATGAAATTTTAAAAAAGTATTCACTATGATAACCAGGTACTTTGCTTGTATAGATTTTACTAAGATGACAAGAGCTATAGCTTAATTCTTTTCTACAATTATAAGGGGAACTTAAACCATATAATTTTTTTTAGTATGGTTCAGATTAATGATCTTTAGAGCACAGCTGATATTATTGTGACCCAGTAGTACCCTTCATCTGTACCAGCCTTCAGAGGTTCTGCTCCTCTGCAGTGACCCCATCCTGGGGAAAGGAAGTACCATTGCTGTCTAAGATTCTAAGCAGCTGGGAATAGTGTGGTTATCCTTAATTCTATTTCTTTGTTCTCATATAAAGTTCAGAGGAACCATAAACATATGTATTTAAGCAGTGTCCTTTGGAAATAACTCAGCAAATATACTTGCCAGTTTAGAAGTTGACCATAATCACCAAATATTAGGTGAAACCTCAGCCATGATAAATGAATCCATATAATCAGGTATCTTGAATCAAAGTAAACTGATGATTATCCCTTTATGGCTTTAAAGCGTTTAAATAAAGACAGTCCCTGCACATTTCAGCTGTAGATCCTAATAGCTTCTTCAGAGAGGGACGTGGTTCAAAGGAAGGAAGGGTTCTCAGGAAATCTTCCATTCACAACAAAAAGTAAATCTCCTATTTGCTGGAATGTTCAGAAATAAGATTTTTCTTTGAGAAAATTTATCCCAAGGGAAGATTATAGTAGACCTAAACCAAACCAAACTGTTACAAAATTCTCTACAAAGAGATAGAAACCTCATTTGATCTCAAACATGTTAGTAACCCGAGAAAGACTAGAGGGTAAATTACCAACTCAGCTGGCATTTGCTTCCAGGTAAAGCAAGCCTCCTGCTTTACCATCCATAGCCCAGAGAGGACAAAGACAGCATTACAGAGTACAGACACAGTGGTAAGTAGACAAGGCAGGAGGAAGCCTCTGCTGATGCAAGCCACGGGTATCCTCAGGAGAATCTTAAAAGTCAGCTCTTTCTTATGTATAGTTATAGTTGAACCTCCTCAAATACAAAACTGACAAAGAATTATGACTGGAAAAAAGGAAAAGAAATCTTTTCAGCTGAAGAGTAGACCACCTCTCATTATTCTGCTCTCATGAACAGCATTGTTCCATAGTGGATCATATGATATTTTCTAAGGACCAAAAGAAAAATCGTGGACCTGAGCTCAGCTCCATCCCGACTCCCTATTTTAACATGTGCCTTAAACCTAATATTAGGGACTCATGTGTTTATGCTGATTTCTTGAATGCTCTCCCAAACTACAGATGTTACTATATCCTAATGTGTTTATAAAAATATAGGTATTAAATGAGTTTCAAGTCTAAACAGTGCCCATATATTGGAAAAAGTAGTTGGGAAGTGACCGGACTAAGCTCCTGAGAATGTAATTTGATTTTCCCCTATTCCCTCCCCCAAAGTGGCTATATTAAATGGAAAAAAATTATTTTAATTTGATTGAAAGCTTCTTTATTCAATAGTTAGGCAAATTATTTACTTCAATTTATACTTAAGGTTTCTATCATATCATCTTAAAAATGTTATTAAACTACATCAAATATGAAGCTTTGCTAAGCATTGTGACTACACGATAAACTGCTGATTAGAGTTTAAATCTTTAATATTATTTCCAAAATTCAGAACAGCCAAAAGACATGCAGTTGATTAACCATGCTACTACTGCATAATGAAATTGTTAGTATCCACCTTAACCAACTCCGAGAGTCACCTCCTTAATTCTTTAACCTAAAGAAAGTGCAACTTTAAAATGATCTTTAGATGATGAAATACCTTACTGGCTATCTCCGTGTCATAGCTAACAAAATTAGGCACTTGGTCAGTACAGTGATTCTGGATGGGATGAAAACAAAGTTATCTCTTATTGAAAGCCCTTCTAAGTGAACTGGCAATACAAAGTATAAATAAACAGATGCACTTACCTGAAATTAAAGTTCAGAGAGTCGGGAAAATGCAGGGAAAAGTTTCAATCGACAGACAAAAAAGCCAGAAAGAGGAGCATGTGCAGGCTTCGGTTGGGCTTTCCACCTTTGCAAGTGGCAGTGAGGCCAGTCCTGGCCAGTCCCCTCATGTTATGTAACATCTTATTAATATTAGCCATCAGACTGCTACCAAGCGGGTGAGGCACTAGAGGGCAAGAGTGACACATGCGAGACCCATCTCCAAGGGACCAGCGCTGGGACCACTTCAGGGAAGACAGATGCTAACTAAGCTGATAAATGCCAGATGTCTGAAGGCAGCAGCGAAACTTGCCCTTGTTCCTCAAAGAGGATTTTAAAGGCCAGTTTCTGACTAGCCCGAGTTAACAGGTTAATAAACACGCGAAAGCAAAGAACCACACCATGCAAAAAACTTTCATTGTTATATTTACAACCCACAGTGACTCAGGAGGTTTGTCTCTGCATTGTTTAAAATCAACGCATTTAAGACGGAAAAGGAGACGTGGAATGTAAATTCAACGAGTGTCGATCTCGAGACCCCTCGTTTCCAGTCGCTAGAAACTTGCGATGGTCGCGCGCTGCCATTTCTAGAGTCCGCATTTCAAGTGGCCAGGGGTGGGATCCTAGGTGTGGAACCTGCCCGCCATCCTAGAGATTACCTCGGGCTGCGGAGCGCCTGCATCCTGCTTCCCGGTCCACCTCCTCTCTGCGCTACCGCGGCGAGGCCACCGCAGCGGCGGCCTCCCCCAGCACCGGCTTGCGGGCCGGCCGAGTGGGATGGGCGCGCGGGGCGGGCGGAGCTTGCAGGGCGAGTGGTCCAGGCGCTCGGGGCGGAGTGGCCCCGCCCTGGCGCGCGCTCTGGGACCGGTCCTCGCCCCACGCCGCGGCGCAGTCTCCGGGGTTCCTGCAGCTTGCGCACGCCCGCCGGAGAGGGAGGAGGCGCGAGCCAGGACCCAGCTCCTGCCAGCCCTCGGAGCTGCGGGAGGGGTTTAGGGACGGGCAGGGCCACACTACAGGTGCTGGTGCCCTGCACGGGATAGCACATCTGGCGCGCTTTCCTCCTGCTCACTAGCCTCCTAGTGCAGGGTCCTCTCCAGCCCAGAAGACTGGTGCCAGGCCAAAGACAGATAAAGAGGCATTTTTAAGTTCAAGGTGAGGGTGGGCGAAAGCTCGAAGGGAAGGTGTCTTCCAAGACACTGTCGGCCACGCCAAGGCAAAGCAATTTGAGACAGGGGCAATCCACCAATGGTAACTTGTAAAGGACATTTCTGTGGACATGATAATACTTAGAGGACCAGTCACCACCTCACAGGATGCCACGTCCCACTTGCTTTAAGTGACATAGGTCAATGCTCAGACTTGTTGGGGCTATCGAACTCAGGTCTGGCCAAAGGTGGCACCATGTGTTCTCGGTGGTTAGGATTAGTACGTGACCAAGCTTAGCCATTCAGAGACAAAAGATTCCATTTGTAGATGTTTTGGGGCCCTGCCTGTGCAAGTGTGCTGTCTTATGTTGAGTTCCGACGAGTGAAGCGCAGCTGAAGTTTCACGGTCCTCTGAGGGCTGAAGACAGCGCTCCTGATCAGGGATGCAAACATAAGTTTTGGAGATCGCGCGCACACAGGTGCGCTTTGAACCCCGGTGAGACTGAGATACCTCCCACCTTTACGTGTTGTCGTACATGAATCCATAAATGGACTTTTGGCTTAAGACAGGTCCGCTTATATTTTCTGGAAACTAGTAGTGAAAAAAGGGGATACAGATGATTGAGAAATCAAACACTTTGTATCGCTTGATGATTTTAGGAAGTCATTTGGATGTATACAGCCTTTGGATGTATAAGGACATTTATAATGACATTCGGATGCACAGTGCCTCCAGCAGATTACAATATCTTGAGTTAGTTGGCATTTCATTTTTTTTTTTTGGTGTATTATTATTAGGTGCTGGGGATGAAACCCAGAACCGTGTAGATACTAAGCAAACACTATACCACTGAGCCACATCCCTAATCTGGCCTTCTGCCTTTCTTCTTTCTAAGTCAGAAAAAATTCCATCTTTTTCTTGCTCCATGAGTAGAAGAGTATAGAGAAGTGAGGGAAACAATCTCTGCTGGAGCTACAGAAGTATTAGGCGAGTAAAATTCTTTGGCTAGATGACAGGTATGAAAATGAATCTCCTACTTTTATTTTCTGTTGTTGGAGTCTCTCTTGAGAGTCTTGTGTCTTCCAAGAAACACCGTTTGTGTTTATATGCTTACTCCAGAGAGCCTGCCCTGCCTCCACAGCGTCCATGCAGCCGTCAGAAACTTCTGGTTGGGAGATGGCTCAAGAATGAAGAGACTTGCCACCAAGTCACAGAACCCAAGTTCAGTTCGAACAGCCCCACATGGTGGGAGGAGAGAACCAACTACAAATTGCCCTCTGACCTTCACACCAGGGCACACAACACCCCTTCCCTAATAGATGAGCCAGAGGGGATGGAGGACACTGAGGAATCAAGGCTTTCTAGACACAACAGCTGTAGGCACACATATGAACTCATGGGGACTGAGGCAGCATGCACAGGTCTGCACCGGACGGGTCCTAGAAAGAGAAGTGGACACGTACCTTCATCCCTAACCCAGAAGCCATCTCCAATTGATAAACACTTGCAAATAAAGACTTAGTTTTCTCCAAGGGAATCTCACTGGGGAAGCAAATTCTTCTTAAGAGTAGGCCCCATGTCCAGCAGTAGATGTCCAACAGAACACAAGCTCAGCGGCATCTTCGTCTCTTGATAATAATTTTTTTCTTACAGGTCCTTTGCATATAAATTACAGCTTCCAGTTTTCTGTTTTTGTAATTCCTGTGCATGTAAACCTGTGTCTCTGCGTCTCTATGTGTTTCTTGTATTTTTTCATGTTTGATTGTTTTGTCCTATTCTGATTTGGTTTTTTTTTGTTGTTGTTGTTTTATTTTGTTTTATCTTATAATTATTTCTTAGATGCCCATTTGTTTTCTAAAGAGAGACAGAAAGGGTATGGATCCAGATGGTAGGGGAGGTGGGGAAGAACTGGGAGGAGTAGGTGGGGGTGGGGGACCATGATCAGAATATATTGTATGAAAAAAAAATCGTTTTCAGTTAAAAAGTAAATAGGTGTAGAAGAGTATTGAACAAGAACTGAGTGGCTCTGGGAATAAAGTAACACTGAACGTGGGGAAAGTAGATACATTTTTCTGCCTCTCCCTTGCTTGTAATGTATTGCTATGGGGTGGGCAGTATAAGATTTCAGTGAATGGACCAGAGTCACAAATCCATACACTCCTGAATGAACATTCCTCCATGCGTAGTCAGGTTTGGAAATGGCATTCACTTTTCATCTTTTTCTATTTTCTCTGCATGAAAGGGAAAAAAAAAAAAAAACTACAGGGAACCTCTTTAGCCTATTTAAGACTGACTGTCTTTTAAATTCCCGGGTCAGGTGGAACAGGCGGAGTCAGCTTCCTGGGTGCTTTGGAACCTGCTGCTGCTTTTACCTGGTGTTCCTAGCCATCCATTTGCAAATGCAGATGGCTGAGGGATAGGCTGTCTTCTCCCAAGGTACACCGAAATCTCATAGCTCTGCTAAAGAAGTTTACATCTACGTATATGTATGACAGCAGATCTGTTCCCTGTATTTCCTTCCATCCCTGAACTATTTGCCTGGCAGAGATAAATAGGGACCACACACGAGGGACAACATTGCTCACTTTAGCCCTTCTTTCCTGTTTTCTTTACCTTATGTGGGGACAACAGGCCAGGGAACTATTTTTTCTCTAGCAGACGGATACCCCAGTGCCGTGTGCTGTTCACTATAGGCAACGAAGAACCTGTGCCCATCTGAATCCGGGCTTCACATTGGGGAAGCACCTCAAATTTATTCATTTCCCAATTAGCTTCAATATGCTTAATGTGATAAATGAGTTATATTAGCACTGACCTCTTCATAACCACCTTCGTTCTTTCTATTTTTACTATTTATGCAAATATCGAGGGCCTCAGAAGTAGAAGAGGCTTAGACTTCTGTCAAGGACTCCGCCTGTTCCACCTGACCCAGGAATTTTAAAAGACAGTCAGTCTTAAATAGGCTAAAGAGGTTCTCTGTGTTTTTTTTTTTCCTTTCGTGCAGAGAAGATAGAAAAAGATGAAAAGTGAATGCCATTTCCAAACCTGACTACGCATGGAGGAACATTCAGGAGGTGTGGATTTGTGACTCTGGTCCATTCACTGAAATCTTATACTGCCCACCCCATAGCAATACATTACAAGCAAGGGAAAGGCAGAAAAATGTATCTACTTTCCCCCACGTTCAGTGTTACTTTATTTGGCCTAGATTTTATGAGACATTTTGTTTATCAGAGACCCATCTTAAAAAAAAAGAAACCCCAAACGAGAATCTGCCTATAAACTAAAAATCTACAGGAATGATTAAAAACGAAAAAACAAAAATAACAAAAAAGTGCATTTTTATATATTGAAATAATTAATCCTGTATTTAGCCACTCTGACAGACAGCATCTGATAGTAACTCATGATGATGTAGAGATTTAATAACATGCCTTATATAAATAAAATTACAACCTTTGATGGGATTTTCTTCCTCATCTAAATGCTTCTAGGTGGAGGGTACTGATTATGAAAGGATTTTGAGAACCTTATTTTTGCAGAGTTCTCTTTAATTTTTCAATGTCTAAATTCAATCCATGCATTACTTTATTAAGAAAAGATTAAAAAATGAAAATGACATAATATTTTTTATCTGAAACAACTAATAAGTGTGTGTTACAATTTCTTTTAAAATCTTCAACTAAGACTTGTAGTAGTAACTCTGTGGATATGCTTAAGGCAATGGGATGAGGACTTAATAGAATATACTCTAGCTACCAACTTCTAACTTAGCCAAGGAGGGGGAGCCCTGCTTTTCTTACTGTCTCAAAAGATGGTCATTTGAAAACGGACCCTAACCAAACATCCCCCCAAAATGACTGATTGAAGAGGGACCTACGTGGAGTCAGGATGTTAAGCAGCTGCAGACAGAGAAGTTACCTCTGCCTTCTTCCAGTGTTCTTACAGAGAGTCCCTTATAAATGAACCAGGGGGAGTAGATGGTATAAAGGCCTTTTTAAAAATATAATTTTTAATTAAAATGTAATTATATCGCTTCTCCCCTTTCCTCTTTCCAACTCCTCCCATGCGCTCCCCACTCCTTCTCAAATTGATGGCCTTGCTGTTGTTTTCTTTGATTATCGTTGTTATGTATATCGATTTGCACCGATCTGCTAAGTCCATTTATGTTGTTTATGTAGATATGATTTCAGAGCTGATGACTTTGTGTTGGGTAATCAATTAGGGGACTCATCCCTGTGTGACACTAATTCCCTCTCTCAGCCTAAGCAATACCTGAACCACAATGACAGTGTCCGTAGACTTGCTAATGTCTAAGTGGGGAAACTAACAGGGTATGGCCCCCAGACAAAGAACTACATGGAACCAAAGGTCTTGTTTTAAGAAACAGATTTGTGGTTCAGTGGAAGGATTGGAGGTGTGGCTCCAGCTTTAGTGGACATCAGGGTTGCCTGGGGATTTGGTTCAGGACACTGTGCTCTATCTACCCTTAGTGCTTTCTATCAGGCAGGGGCCCAAGAATCTGCATTTCAACAAATGCTCAGTTGCAACTATCCACAATTCAAGAAAAGCCAACTTTGGTAACAGAATGTATTTTTTCCACATTTTCAAGAGTAAATGTTTGTGTCTATATAAGTTATTTAGTTTCCAAAGTTTTGGATTTATTTCTTAAT